TCAGAATAATGTTTTTTTACAAAATAAATCATTCTTTAATTCTTGAATCTAATGGCCACAGTCTTTCTGCCAGTTAAACAGATTGACCCATTGTTAAACATTAAAATCACTATGGCTTCTAATGCTCAAGTTAGTTCTCAAATGAACACTTCTACAGTTTGCGCTCCAGACAAGATTATCATCATAGTTTTAAAAAGGTGTTCTCAAGAATTCTCTTCAATTTTGGCTAAACTTTTTAAAAGTGCTAAATAAGTGTTCCAAATTTTTAAAACTCTAAAAACCACTTTGACCTCTCCAACTATCCGATAAGTCAACACTCTGTTATTAGTTTCTTTATATAAAGTTTTTGAGATTAAAATATTATTTCTTTCTAACTGTAGAACTAAAGTTATTCTTGAAGGGCTACACTCCACTATATTTTAAGTAACTTTAAGGGTAACACAAAGTTCTGTCTTTGCTCCTTTGATGTTATATACAATAACAATCTTAATGAAAATTTTATATCTAAAGTATCTCTATTAGCTAAAGACTCAACTTTATACTCTTGACAAAATATCTTCACTTTTTGATTGCTTAGAACAAGCACCAGTTTTTAATCTGATCTCTCTTCTGTAGAAGCCTAAGGCTTGCAGTGGCATGTGGATTTAAATTTTTTAAGGCAAGAAAACTGTGAGAAAATTTAATTAAAAAAAAAATTGAATTAAAAAAAAAATTAAAGCAAAAAAATTTATTTACTGCAAAAAAATATTGCAATATTGTTGGCATTCCTATATTGATGAATAACATACCTTTTACTCTCTGACAGTCTAAAAGCACATTATAAATGTAGTTAGCCCTGCTTTATCTGCCAAGCTTAAACCACTCTCCCATTGTTTTAAGGATGCATTTCTTTCTTTTTTCTATAAATACTATCATTGTCAATGTTCAAACAAGCTATCATCACTAGTATGATAAACCAAAACTCATTCTTACTTGGCTTCTTTTTCAACAAGTTGCATCCTTATACTGCATCTTTCCATTCATGCTATAAAAACTTTTATCAATTCAGTTTTTTATCTTTCTACATCAAAAAAGCCTTTTAACTCCCCCATATTTGTGTTTCATTTTTAATACATCCCGCAACTTTTAAAGTCAGCCATTTAACCAGTTAACCATTTTCTAGTATTTTAACCAGTCCTCTATTTTAAAGAAACTCATAATTAATAGTACTTTCCGGACAAAAAAACAAGACCACGTATGCAAAACTTTTGTACGTATTTTTACAATTTTTGGTGAGTCATACAATGACTTTTTTTGTATTTCATGAAACCCATTATTTGATTTATCAGGTGCATATATATTCATAAAAAAATCTGTGTTCATTATTATTTCTGATTTACCTAAAAATATTTATTTTAGAAATGAAGTCATCAGCGTTGACGCTAAAACACCTAAGAACAAGATGAAATCAATGGGTATTTAGTGACGAGAATCATTTCGAGTTATTTTGAACTCGAGAAGGTTGATGGGTAAAGAAATAACTGCGAATTGGCAAACCAAAGTTCAAACAGAGTCTCATGGTTTGGGGTGCGATTAGTTCCAATGGTAAAACATCATTGCTTATAATCAAGGGCATTGAGAATAATAAAAATACAAAGAAATATATTCTGAAGCTGAGTCAACTCTAAAAAATCTTTTCCAAAGGAGTTTTAAATTTTAACAGGATGGGGTGACATGCCACACTTCAAAATCAGTTTCTGAGTGGTTTACAGAACATAAATGGAATGTTTCTTCTTGGCCCGCTAATACACTGTATCTTAACCCCATTAAAAATGTGTGGGGGTTAATAAAAAAAGCAAAAAATGTTAATGGAAAAGAAAAAACCAAAAAATTTACATAATTTAGAGGTTGCAATTCAAGAAGTTTAAAACAGACTTTCCTTGGATTATTTGAAGTCATTAATTAACAGTTTGAACTGTCGTGTTCAAAAATGCATTGACGTCCAAGGACACATGACTGGATATTGATCAATATATTATTTTAAAAATTAGGCTTTACTTTTTATTTTCTATTGAAAAATTTTATTATTTATTTTTTATTTTAAAAATAAAACTTTGAAAACTTGGTCTCATTTTTTTTGCCCGGAAGGAAGTTGCTTGCAATCTTGTTGAAAGTAAATTAGAGTTTAAAAATATATAAATATATGCCAGTATGTAATAAATAGTAAATATAAATTAAAAATTATAATACAAAAAGTATTATAAATCTTTTTCTAGCCCTGGCTATCAACCTCTACTAAATCTTATAATTTGGCCAGGGCCGGGTTTGCAAAAAGTCTTATTCTTAGCCGGAGCCGGAGCCTAACTGCTGACCTAAACGTGTATGCGGTCAGCAAAAAAAATTCGGTTTTGCCCACCTCGTTTTGATGTTTTATGGTAAGACCTTTGCATTTGTTGACCTAATGCCGACCTTTAAAAGATTGAGGTCAGCAAATTATTGCCAACCTCAATTTTTCTAATTC